ATCCAACCTTTTTCAAAAGGTATGTTGATGACATATTTGCTATTTGTAAAAATGGAACTGAAGCATTGAACAGCCGAATCTCAAGCCTCATCGTTTTCACTATGGAGAAAGAAGAAAACGGCATCACCTTTATTGGATGTGCAAGTAAGACACCACCAGCAGAGATATTTGACCACGATGTTCCTCAAGAAGACGCATACTGATAAGTATCTACATCACTTCTCTTATCATCCAGATTGCGTTAAAAAGGTGTTGTCAGTAAACTTTTCCAAAGAGGCCGGAAGATATGCACAACAGATGATGATCTTCGCCAAGAACTAAATCAAACTAGAACGACGCTATTAAGGAACGGCTGTCCGATGAAGACTTTTAACGAAGGCTTAGTAAGTTTATCAAAACAAAGAGTGTGGTCGCTCACCTGATAACAACATCTACATTTCTTTGCCATGCGTTCGCCAGCTGAATGAAAAGCTGCGACGCATTGGATTTGCATCCGGACCTAACCTGGTTTTCAAACCTTCTGCAACTCTACGCAGCCGACTATGCCACCTCAAGACCCAGAAACCTAAGGAGCAGAAAGCCGGTTGGGTGTACCAACTCCCGTACTCCTGTGGTGCGGTTTACCTAGGCGAAACGGGTAACACAGTTGAAGAAAGGAAGACAGACTACAATAGGAATTTGATATATATACATATAACAGAATATAAGTCATTTATATAAAAGACCTCCGCTTTGGCATTGAAATGTAAGTGATGGACGTCAAAACTGACGAATGCAATTTTTAGGTCATATTTTGCCTGCCATATTTCTCGTCGCTGTTGGATGTGTCGGCTGTGACACCATCGCTGTCGTCAGTCTTTTAAGCGCTTCCACCGCGTTCTCTGGCCTGTGTGCCGGAGGATTCGTCGTGAATTTGTTCGATCTGTGTCCAAAATTTGCAGGTAGAATACGAGTGCGCTACTTGCATGTTTCAGACAGAGGACCATGCTGCTATAAAATTTTAGGTCAAATCAAAAATCTTGTACCCTGATGATGGAGTCCGTTGGGTTGTACAAAACATCGGCTTAGAACAGAAAAGTTTACACCTATAACCATCATGTCTGATGAATTTCTATCTAGCGACGTTTTATGAGCACAAATGTTGAACATGCAGCGAAACGCTGATTAGAAGAACGGATCTACTGGATGCTGCTATCGATGGATAAAACGGCACCAGCATAGTCAAACTTGAATTGGAGAGACGATTGAGTGTTACATTCACAACCGAGAGGTACAGGGTTAGAGCTGCGATAGTATCACTCACCTTTCTTGCTTTTGACGCTGATAAGTCAGTATCGCCCCGTGAGAATGAAACAGAAGACTACACGCCATGCTATTCACAACTAACAGTTCTGCCTTTAACATAAGGTATTCCTGAATGATGATACGGAAATCTGTATCAACGCCTCACCATTAATTTTATGAAACAAAGCCGCAACAAGAGTCCACGTCCACGTCTCATGAAAGCCGACGTCCGAAATTAAAAACTTTCCTATTCCTAAGTAGTCGACTTCCTCTATCATTTCATCTCCCTGTTGTCCTGTCGACCTGGATCTCCCGTCGTTTCACATCCTTCATGCACATTCAAGCAATACAGACTGACCACTAAGACAGATATGATTCAGAAGGAAGCGCATGGTTTGACAGAAATATGTTCACGTTTATTTAGGACTTTTGTTCGGGATCTCCACGACGATTGGATCAATTCCCGGAACAACTGCACCGGTGCTGACCGGCTATCTACTGCAGAGGCTGAATGTAAAACTACTCATTTTTCAGTACATAAATTTGTACTAACAAGATGAACATTTCAGCACAATATTGTCGCTTGGCAAATTGTTTTCTTCGTTGCCTCCGGCATTTACGTATTAACATCGATATTTTACGTCATCTATGCGAAAGGACAGGTACAACCCTGGGCATCCAACGAGGAAATACACGTGACGAGATTTTGAAAAAGTTTCGGGTTTGAGATCCCAAGAAAAAACTGATGTTTGCAGTTAACTTTTGTATTCCAGTGCATTCAGTCATATATAACATCGCACTTTTAAACTTTAAAACCGAGCATTATTTTCTTATGCTGGAGATTAATTCCATGGTTTTCATATTTCTCACTGGATATAGGTTTCATTACAGAAATTACTGACGTTTTGTGACACACTTGGCTCGTTGTCAAAATACAAAGATAAAAACAGTTAGTAAAACTCAGATGGTCTACGATAAATTCAGATAACTATCTGAGACCGAGCAAGTATTAATTTAGCAGCATTTCATTAATATCTTACTTGCAGATATTCTACATGCCTATGCAATTGTCCCAGTTCAAGTATCTGTTTGCCTGGATCGACAGAGCTTCTTTGATCTTACTAAGTCA